GTAGCTTTGTAAAATTACGGTTGAACCCCTGATGTCACATGGATTATTTTACAGATTATTATTGGATTATTAGAGCTCTCAGAATTCATCAAAAATATCTTAATTTGTGTTCCGAAGATGAACAGAGGTCTTACCGGTTTGGAACGAGTAATTAATGACAGAATTTTTATTTTTGGGTGAACTAACCCTTTAATTTGCATTTTGAAGGTCTTGAGGGTGAGTAAATGGTGGCAAAACTTTCATTTTGGATGAACTATCCTTTTAAAGTGCTAAAATGCATTTCATGCATCAGATAGTCTGCGAATCCTCTAACACGTTCTTTTTTCTGTCCTCAGGTTCTGACATTCGAGGCTTTACCCCGTTCAGGTTCTCTGTTGAACCCGTCGACACGCTGGCCGTTCGCGGGCTCCCCGCTGTCCTGAACTGCTCGGCCGCTAGCGACGCTCCGGTGAGGGTGGAATGGAAGAAGGATGGAACGTTCCTGAACCTGGTAGCGGACGACCGGAAGCAGCAGCTAGCCGACGGCTCTTTGCTCATCAGTGTGGTGGTCCACTCCAAACACAATAAGCCTGATGAGGGGGTGTACCAGTGCGTGGCCACCATCGACAACCTGGGCACCATCAGCAGCCGAACCGCACGCCTCACAGTGGCAGGTATGAAAACCAAGCTGTCGAGGTTCATAAATGACATCTTAAGTCTACTGTATCAAATTTGATACGCAAAATTCTAAACTGCATTAATCCAAACTACATGCCTTCTGTCGTCTGATTGATAGTTTATACCTTTTTAGCAAGTAAAAGGCCTTTAAGTGTGAGTCGTGGTTCACATGTCTTTTTGCTGAAACAAAAACCACAAAAGCAGTCTTAAGTCGCTGGGGTATATTTGTAGCAATAGCCAAAAATACATTGTATGGGTCAAAATTATCGATTTTTCTTTTATGCCAAAAATCATTAGGATATTAAGTAAAGATCATGTTCCATGAAGATATTTTGTAAATTTCCTACCGTAAATATATATATACTTAATTTCTGATTAGTAATATGCATTGCTAAGGACTTCATCTGGACAACTTTAAAGATGATTTTCTCAGTATTTAGATTTTTTTGCACCCTCAGATTCCAGATTTTCAAATAGTTGCATCTCGGCCAAATATTATCCTATCCTAACAAACCATACATCAGTGGAAAGCTTATTTATTCAGCTTTCAGATGATGTATAAATCTCAATTTAAAAAAAATTAACCCTTATGACTGGTTTTGTGGTCCAGGGTCACATATATAAAGTAAACATTTATATTGTTAGTAATATTTCAAAAAGTTTACTTACTGGACTGAAGCAACTTGGATTTACTTGACTATATCCATACATGGTTTTTTCATGTTCAAATGTGAGCTTTTGAGAAATGTTTCTTTGTACATCCCTCAATCATCATTATATTGCATTGCAATATGTTTTGAAACTACAGAGCTTTGATCATAAAACTAAGCATTTAAATAAATTCTTACTAAGACATTTTATTAGGAGATATAGAGTGACAATACATATTTATATAATTTAGTGTAAGTATCTGTTATACTCTCAGAAAGATTGCATTGATTTAAATTACTAGCATCAGAATTTCATCTTACTTTTTGGCCATATTAATATCAGCTTCTGCACCAAATTGCATATTTTTGCTCAGTTTGGGCATCTGAATAAAATTGGGGTGTTTTTTTCCTCCATATTCTCACTATATTATACTATATACGATGTACTATATGTGACCAAATTTGTTTGTTAGGATAGGACAATATTTGTTCGAGATACAACTATTTGAAAATCTGGAATCTGAGGGTGCAAAAAAATCTAAATATTGATTAAAAAAAATAACCTTTAAAGTTGTCCAAATGAAGTTCTTAGCAATGCATATTACTAATCAAAAATTAAGTTTTTATATATTTACAGTAGGAAATTTACAAAATATCTTCATGGAACATGATCTTTACTTAATATCCTAATGATTTTTGGCATAAAAAAAATCTATAATTTTGACCCATACAATGTTTTTTTGGCTATTGCTACAAATATACCCCAGCATCACATATTATATTATATATGATGTCTAAATATGATACTCAACAAAAAACACACATACAAGCCTTTTTCTTCTATGAACTATTAAACTATTACTTCTATTAAAATAAGTATTATTTTATACGTCAGGCTTTACCGGGTTAATTCATATTTTTTAAATGCTTTCTGACCATCTGATGCACACAAGAATGGCAAGATCTTTCTCAAAGTTCCCATTTTTCTGAGTCAGGCGGAATGGATTTCTATCATTCAGTCAGAGGTGAGAGTGCTGATCTGGGATCAGTTTTCAGCAGAGCACGGGTCGGCGCGCTGTAGTTGAGCTTCACACTATGCTATGAATCTAACGGCAGGATTAGTGTGTGTTTGAACAGCAGGGTTAGATATCAGCCAGGCCTTCACAGTTTGCTCTGACTGGAGCCTCCGTTTCCTTTAAAGACGCCCAGCAGAGTTTTCTCACTATTTGCCAGCTTTACTTCTTGAGTAAACACAGTTGTACTGAGAAATTCCAGCGGGAAGAACCAGAATGAATATCATATGTTTGTGTAGCATCCCAGAAGATGATTTTAGAGCTCAAAGGTTGCTCTTTTATAGCTCTGGAGATTTAAATGCTTAAGAATCAACTTTTTGATGTTGTTCCTCAAGTTCCTTGGAAGAAAAATATGTCATACAGTAAGAGTACAGAGCTATAAGATGTAAGCTCAGATCAGTCAGTGTTTGAAGAATTTGATGAGAAATATTGGAGTTTTTATCGAGATATCTGACTTTTGATTCAGTTTCTGAAAAGATTTGTTCACTTGAGTTTAATTGGAAAGCAGCAGACTTTAGAAGAATGATTGAGTCTCATTGCTGTCTGTGAGAAATAACTGAGGTGTTTGTGATTTATTTTTAGTAGGGTAAATGGTGTGTGCTCTTGCTCGTTTTGTACTGTGTATCTAATTTACAGGCTATAAACTTCATGTGATTCTGCAGTTCTGTGCCGTATTGATCTGTACTGTGGTGTGATGTATTGATCTGAGCACATATCTGCAGCTCTCTACCAGACATAAAAAATCTGTAAAACTTTGTTATTTGTTATTAGTATGTTATTGTGCTGAATACAGCAGTATTGATTAATGGAAGCTTCTGATTGGTTCTGTGTTCATTGGGGCGTGGCCAAAGATGACATCATTAGTATTACACCCAAGTATGAATATAAAACGGTCAGAAATATATGTATTTGTTTATGCAATATTTAATACGATATTCAATGAGAGAAAAATAAACATTTTAGATGTATAATTTAGAGAGAGAGAGAGAGAGGTGTTATTTCTGTATCATTGAGACTCTTATAGTTTTTATTCATATTTTGAGTTTTTATTTCTGTTTTCATTTTAATATTATGTTAATATTAAGATTTTTTAACATGTTAAACATTTTAGATGTATAATTTAGAGAGAGAGAGAGAGAGGTGTTATTTCTGTTTTCATTTTAATATTATGTTAATATTAAGATTTTTTAACATGCCTATATTTATTATTATTATTATTTCCAGTTTTAGTTATTTTAGTACGTCAAGTTAAACTAAATTAAAATGAGAGATATAATGATATTTGTGTTGTTGTTTTATTTCAAATAACAAACTTTTTTTTTAATGGCTTTAGTTTGATGTTGTTGTTTTTTTATTTATTTATATGTATATAAATTGTATATATTTTTTCTCATTAAATATCCTTTTTCCCTCAAATATATTTTTAAATTTTTTCCGTTGATCCAAACCTGTAATTTTTCTTTCTTCCATGTTTTGGAAAGAAAACGTTTTGAAGAATGTCCAAGCTGTTCTTTATTTACAGTGCAAGTGAATGGTGACCAAAATGGCAAAACAAAAAAACACTTCAGCAACTTAGTATCTTTATTTACTTATAATCTTGCTCTGTATGGGTTTGAAACAGCTTGAGGGGTTGCTATTTTTAATTTTTGGGAGGAATTATTATGTTATCCCTTTAAGTTGCCATTTTGCAACAATCTTGCTGTGTTAAAAGTGATTTCTGTCGACTTCTTCCACATGCATGTACCATTACACGGTTTTTCACTCCGGAATATGAGCCACTGAAAGAAATCTGACAGAAACAGGAAGTTTTACTTCAGGTTTTTGGAGGAATGTTTCGCTTGGTCTTTTAACTCCTATAAAGCATTCGACACATGTATAGTTCACACGTTTGATAGTTCCTCACCTCTCTGCCTGTCTCTCCGGCCTTCAGGGAAAATTTGTCTTAAAATACAAGCGCTCTCTCTTTATTCTCAAACAAAACTGTCTCTTTTCATTTCTCCAGTCGTCAGGTGCTTTCTCGGTGAAATCTCTCAGAGATCTGGCCTCTGAAGCTGTATCACGGGCTCCATGTGCTGCTGGCAGAAATAAAGGATGCTTTTCTGAGCTCGGGATGAGGAATGACGTGTTCAGGCTTTCAGAGGAAGAGAATTAGCATCAGTGCATTATACTACATTAAGACTCGGAAGAGCTTTTCTATTTCCTTTTGTGTCTGGGTTTTAATGCATGTCAGTTGTGTGTTTGTGCTGTAGCTGTGCGCAGTGAATGCGACCCCTGACAGCAAGAACAAATGACTGGATTTTACAGTTTTCTGAAGAAAACGAGTGCTGATTGCCTGTGTGAAACGTACTGCTGTTAATGCTATGCTGAGTGGTTGTTTTGGGTGCTTTTTAGCATGTTGTTATGTGGTTGCTAGGGTGTTTTTTAAGCATGTTGCTAGGGTAATTTTCTGAGGGGTGGGGGGTGATTTTAAATGTATTTCTATGTGGTTGTTAGGGTGTTCTGGGTAGATTTTAGTGAGTTGCTTTGAGGTTGCTGGGGTGTTTTTTTCAGTGTTTTGCTATATGATTATCTGCTTTAATGCATTGCATGATGCATCGGTCCTGTCTTCAGTGTGCATCTGTGGGATTTTTTTCCTTGTAAAAAATCGGATCAGTAATGGCGCACGTCGTCTCAAGACACATGATTTGAGGAATCATTAGTTACACTTCAAGATTTAATATTAAAGTGAGTGATCCTAAAAAAAACACTATATCCGAGTGTGAGTTGTACTAATGAAGCTTAACTTGATGAAGCTGTAGTAATCTATGAGCTCAACCTACAAAGATGCATTTGAATGATTTGAAGGGCTCTTAGAGGTAAGACATTACTTTTTTCTGTTTTTCATAGGAAGCAACACTAATGCCGTAGCAGAGCACTAGAACACACACACACACACACACACACAAGCACGCGTTTAAGTGCCTTGTCCATGTTTTCAGATCTAGCCGGCGGTGCAAGGCAAGGAGACTTGAGGACTCCCTGGGGTCGTTACACTGAAAGTTCAGGGCAACCTGTATGAGGAACACACGCAGTATTTCAAGTCAATGCTTTTCACAGTTCACAGGAGATCATTTAAAGCACAACGGTGCTCGTTCTGACAGTTTGCTAACATTTATTTCATATGTTAATGGCCATTTCATTCAGTCATTCATTGCGGCAGGAAATAGAGGATGACACTCCAATGCCACCATAGCGTCGCTCTTCTCTTTACACATACGGTCTTTCTCTTGTTTG